CCCCTCAAGAGAATCAGGAAAATTAAATCACACATTCCAAAATCTCAGAACCAGAGCCATCACTCTGGGATTGAATGGGATTGAAACCCATGCCCTGACTCCAGATTTCACCTCTTAACCAGATGATGCATTCAGAAAATTTTCCTGATTTTTATTATTTCTGAAAACGACTCATTTTTCTTTAAAGCACAAAAATTGAGATACAACCTATATATTTGTACATGGAGATACAACCTATATATTTGTACATGGAGAAAAAGATACCAGGAAGTTTGCAAAACGTTGGTCACTGCCATGTATATACATATACATCCAGTGTATATACACACACATACAATGGAATATTATTCAGCCATAAAAAAGAAGGCAATCCTGCCATTTGTGATAACATGGATGGACCTTGAAAGCAGTCTGTATGTGGAATAAGTCAGGCAGAGAAAGACAAATATGCTATCACTTATATGTGGATTCTAAACAAAAAGCAAAACAAGGCAGTGAACTCAGAGATAGAACAGATTGGTGGTTGACAGAGGTGGGGGGGAGGCCGGTGAGGAGGAGAGGGGTGGGCAAAGTGGGTGAAGGTGGTCAAAAGGTACACACTTCCAGTTGTAAGATAAATAAGTCCTGGGGATGTAATGTACAGCATGGTGACTATAGTTAATGATACTGTATTGTATATTTCAAAGTTGCTGAGAGTAAATCTTGAAGTTCTCATCACAAGAAAAAGATTGTAATGGTAGTGATGGATGTTAATTACACTTATTGTGTTAATTACACTTATCATTTCATGATATATACAAATATCAAATCCTTATGTTGCACACCTGAAACTAATACAGTGTTATATGTCAATTATATCTCAATAAAAAAATAAAAAACATAAGATCATGTAAGCTTACATTAGCATATTACAGACCTTTTTTTAAAGATTTTATTATTTATTTATTTATTTGACAGAGAGAGAGAGGTGGGGGTGAGGAGCAGAGAGAGAGGGACAAGCAGACTGCACTGAGCACGGAGCCCAATGAAGGGCCCTATCTCACAATGCTGAAATCATGACCTGAGCCAAAACCAAGAGTCGGATGCTTAACTGACTGAGCCACCCAGGCACCCCTATTACAGACCTTTTAAGAAACATTGCATTCGATGCGGAAGTTAATTCAGAGAGTGTTCAGTTATATGTGTTTGGAACTCACTTCAGGCGTGGGCCATGTCTCCAACACGCGTAGTATTAGATATGCCTGTGTGTACACAGTAGCTTCAAAAGCTTTACAGTGATTGATTATAAAGGCAAAGAAACAGAACTTGACTTACTTCAAGTCTGCCCTTCAATATAACCAACTGGAGTTTTGTGTTAAAATTTAGAACAGTGAAACAATTCAAATGACAGGCAAAATACTTCTGTTTGGTTAAGGGCAAATTTTTCTTTTAACTTTATTTATTTATTTATTTGAGAGAGAGCGAGAATACAAGCAGGGGGAGCAGCAGAGGGAGAGGGAGAAGGAGACTCCCCGCTGAGCAGAGAGCCTGTCTCAGAGCTCATTTTCAGGACCCTGGGACCATGACCTGAGCCGAAGGCAGACACCCAACCAACTGAGCCACCCAGGCGCCCCTGGTTAAATGCAAATTTTAATTCACACACAAAATATTTTACTGAATTGGAATCACACTTTTAAAATGGAAATTTAGGGGCACCTGGGTGGCTCAGCTATTAAGTGTCTGCCTTCGGCTCAGGTCATGATCCCAGGGTCCTGGGATCAAGCCCCGCATCGGGCTCCCTGCTCAGTGCAGAGCCTGCTTCTCCCTCTCCTACTCCCCCTGCTTATGTTCCCTCTCTCGCTGTGTCTCTCTCTGTCAAATAAATAAATAAAATCTTAAAAAAAAAATCTTAAAAAAAAATAAGATGGAAATTTATTAAAAAAAATTCTTAGCTGTTTTAAAATGAAAGATGAATCAGGAAAGTAAATGTTACATCAGTGGTACAATTTAGCAGTTTTGGTTTTATTAAAATCACTTTGTCAGTTGCTGAATGATCATTTCCATAAGGTATTATATCAGATTGTAATGAAAGGATCAAAGTTCAAACAGGTTGATGTGAAAATGATTGACGTAAACAGTTGTAGTTTTTTCATTTTTTGGTACTGTAATATTAATTGTATGTATGTATTTGTTTTGCTGGCATGAATATGCATACAAGCTTTGTAAAAGAAAAATTTTCAGTCCTGCATTTCTTTTCTGGACATTCTTCTGCTTTTCATTTCATGGTCACTCGAAAATATGAAATTTGAATTATGAAAATAATGTTATCCTATAGAGGATGAGGTGTTAATAAACAATCTGCTCCATGTGTCAAATATGATTCATTCCACAGACATATTTGAGATGCCATGTTGGGAGAAACACTAGTTTATGGTAACTGGAAGAGGCATCACATGAGAATCAGAGATGGTCCCAGAAGGCAGGGACATCTGAGCTGAGACCTGAGCAGGTGTTAGTTATAGGGCGCAGCCACGACTTCTCAAGGGCCTGTCTTGACTTGAATTATCAATGTTGCTCCTCTAATTAAGCTATCTCCTTCAATATCAGTGTCTCTTTATTGGTGGATCCCTGTTCAGCCTCCCTTAACCCTCCCAACTACCACCTCATTTCTCTAACCCCACTTACAGCAAAACTTCTTTTTTTTAAAAAAATATATTTTTATGACATAAACTCTCTGCCCAACGTGGGGCTCGAACTCATGACTCCGAGATCAGGAGTCCCAGGTCCACCTGCTTTTTTTTTTTTTTTTTTAAGATTTTTATTTATTTATTTATTTGAGAGAGAGAGAATGAAGAGAAAGAGAACATGAGAGGGGGGAAGGTGAGAGGGAGAAGCAGACTCCCCACTGAGTCAGGAGCCCAATACGGGATCTCCAGGATCATGACCTGAGCCTAATGCAGTCGCTTAACCAACTGAGCCACCCAGGCGCCTTCTACCTGCTTTTGTTAGTCACCAAGGGCCTCCATCTTGTCAAGTCCTGGTTCTTATCTCAGCAACATCTGATGTGGTTGCACAGTCCCTCTTTTGAATGCACGCTTCTTTTGGCTTCTTGAAATATAATCTCCTGACTTTCCGCCTACTTCTCCGTCTGTTACTTCTCAGTCTCCTTGGATGAACTTTCTGTTCTGCTGAACCTTAAATGTAAATGTAGGAGATCCTCAGGTTCTGTCCCGTCCCTTTCTCTAACCAGCTCCCTAGTTGATTTCACTCACTCTAATGGCCTTACAACCACCATCTCTGTGCTGACAACACCCAAATTGACATTTACAGCCTTAACCTTTCCTTGAGCACGTTTAGTAGACAATTCAAAGTGAATATGCTTAAAATCGAACTGTTTCAGCTGCCTCCAAATCTGCTCTTCTTCTTATCTTTCCATATTCCCAAATGGTGCAGTCATCACTCAGTTACTCAAGCCAATAATCTGGGGGTCATCTTTGATTCCTCTTTTCCTCTCAGCTTTTTACCATTCCAACCCATTACCAAGTCCTTTCCCTTCTAATTCTTAAAATATTCTTTTTTTTTTTTTTTTAAAGATTTTATTTATTTATTTGAGACAGAGAGAATGAGAGAGACAGAGAGCACATGAGAGGGGGGAGGGTCAGAGGGAGAAGCAGGCTCCCTGCTGAGCGGGGAGCCCGATGTGGGACTCGATCCAGGGACTCCAGGATCATGACCTGAGCCGAAGGCAGTCGCTTAACCGACTGAGCCACCCAGGCGCCCCTTATTCTTAAAATATTCTGCAATCGCCATCATCCCCCCCTCACCAAATACAGCTCTTTCTTGGAGGGAGAGCTCCGTTAGCTTTCTAACTGGTGTCCCTGCTTTGATCTCATCTCCCATAATCCATACACCTCAAAGGAGCCCAATGATTTTTTTTTTTAAAAACTTAGATCCTATGAATTTCCTGTTTAAAATCCTTCAGTGGCTTCCCATCACACTTAGAATATCTAAGTTCAAACTGCTGTCCATGGTCTCCAAGACCATCCCTATCATGTCATTTCACTCTCCCCTGAGCTCACATGGTAGAGGTCACCTGGTCCCTCTATGTTTCCTCTGGCAGGCCAAGCTCTCTCCTGCCTCAGATCCCTCCAATCTTCCTATGGGGAGGTCCCTTTCAGGCACTCAGTCCTCAGCTCACGTTCTCCTATTTTTTTTTCTCGGTGGCACTCACCACCAAAGAAAATTATAATAACTATTGACTTTATTATATTCATTTGTCTGCCCATTTCACATGAAAATTCCTTGAGAGCAAAGAACCTTAGTTCTGTCTTGTCTGCCGTTGTATCCCTAGTTCCCTAAGACAGTGCAGACACACAGGAGGTACTCAGTATTCTGGAACGAAGACGCGTGCTACGGAGCTCCCACTATTTGGTTTGTACACACAAGGGACAGAGGAACCTGGTTTATAGCAGAGAAGATCCAGGCCTCTGGGAGCTTATGACAAAGAACCCTGACCTGGTGGGGTGCTGGTGGAGGTTCTCCTGTCTTCTACACCCCAGTCTGCCGCTGCCTCCTGCCTCCTGCCCTGGTTTTTCCACCCTGAGGTCTCCAAGGCCTGGAGTCTGGAACCTTGGTGTCCTTACCCCTACTTGGGTGAAACAGAGATGCTCAGACTGGAGGGTGGATGGGGCAAATTGGGTGGGGGCAGACATAAGACACAAGATGTGGTGACGGTCTGAGGTTCCCTGTTAGTGCCCTGCTGGGTCCGGGCAGGACCTGGATGCCCGCCGCAGCCGGGCGGGGTGGGGCGGCTGCTGATGGGTGGGTCTGTGGGTGCGGCCCTTGGCTCCGCCCCTCCCGGCGGCACGGTGCTAAGGAGAAGCTGAGCTAGGCAATTGTGATTGTGGCGTGGTGGCGGCCGGACGCTTGACCTGAGACGCTGAGGCAGCGCGTCTCAGCTGTGCTCTGGTGTGGGCCTGGACCCGCACACGGTCCTGATGTGCAGCCCATCCCAGGCTGAGATGGAGCGGGAGGCCGAGAGGCTGAGACGGTGGCAGCCGCCTCAGTGCCAGCTCGTGCAGGTGAGTCCAGAAGTCAGCGCCAGGGCCCGGCGTGGCGGGCGGGGGTGGGGTGGGTGCAGGCTGGGGGTGGAGGGAAGCAGAAATCTGAGGTATTAGAAGTGTGAGGGATAGGGTTAGGAAGGGGAGGGTTGGGAGATCGCGGACATAAGTCATGTGTCATTTATGCAAATATTCACCTCGCGTTAGCACGTGTGCTGGGCTCTGGGGGTAACGCCCTGCCCTGTCAAGGGACTTGAGTGTCCAGGAGAGAAGAAAAAGTTAGGAAGTCAGTGGGAAGCAGGCAGGGAGGAAAACATTACTAAGTGGTAGGCCTTTGCCAAGACCCTGGGAATGCAGTGGTGAGCTTACTATAAGATATTATGCCATTTTATTAATAAACAGCTGAATGATTGGAAGTGTACGAATTACTATTAAGGAGAAGAACAGGGGCCACAGGAACAAATAGCAGAGGTGTTTGAGTTGATTTAGGAGGTTGAGAAGACAGCTAAGGATTTGGTCTGGAACTGGGGAACTGGATGGGTGAAGGGTTTGCAGGACTGAGACCAGAGACAGTAAGCTCCTACCTTGGAGAAAGTGAAAGATGGACCGAGAACTAAGGCCAAGAGAGTGGTGGGAGAGTGGCTACTGAGATCATGCAGGGCTTGAGCCAGTAGGAAGCCACTGAGGAATTTAAATGTGATCAGTCGTGATTAGATTTGCATTTTGTAAAGAGTGCCCTGATAGAGGTGGGCAGAATTCAAGGGGACTGTGATAATCCAAATGAGAACTAAAATGGCAGCCTAACTAGGGAGGGGAGCGTGGAGGTAGAGAAAACCAAATAGATCTTGGACATGTTTTGGAGGTAGACACCATAAGAATTGGTAATTAACTTGCATCTAGGTGGTGAAGGAGCCATCCAGGACACCTTACCAGATTTCTGGCTTGCACCATTGGGCAAGAATAGTGACATTTTGTGAGAGAGCAAAGGATGAGAAGGAACAGGCTTGTTTTTTACTCCTGTCGGTGGGCAAGTAAGGATGAGCAGGAGTTTTAGATGCAGTCCATTGAAGTGCCTTTGGGCTATCCAAGTGGACTGAGCGTTAGGCGGCTGGAAGATTCAGGAGAAGTCTGCCCTGGAGCTACTGGTTTAAGACTAAGTGGAATATAAACCTAAATGGATCATTAGCATGAGAAAGATTGCCTAGAAAGTAGCCAGTAAGGGAAAGCTATAGAGGCGACTGAGGAGGAGGGAGGGCCAGGGCGAAGAGAAGGAGAAAAACCCAGCAAGTGTGACAATGTGTTCCCAAGGTCAAGGGAGGAAAACATTTCAAGAAGAGTGGCCAGGAGTCTCAGAAGCTCCCGAGAGGTCAAGCGAGAAGGGGTCTGACAAGTGTTTGGACTTAGTGACATGAAAGTGGTTGTTGACCTTTATGAAAGCGGTTTCTGTGGAGAAATGGGGGCCAAGTTGAATTTGGGGAGTAATTAGGCAAGGTAGTGGTGAAGGTGTATATTTTAAGCATCGCCAAAGAAGTTTGCCTGCGAAGGATCAGGAAAATAAAAGAGGGCCATCACTGAGAGGGAGGAAAAAGGGGCTGAGCACCCCAGAAATGCCCATCCAATAGACAGTTATCTGGAGCCTGTTACGAGCCTACTTTATGCTAGTTGCATATAGTGGTGAATAAAACAGATAGGATCTCGCCAACCCTTCTAGGGTGAAAGAAAATTATTTTCTTCCATAGTCAAACATTTTCAAACCTACCCAAATTCTTAATATCATCTTAAATGTAATTCTTATTCAGATTCCCCTAGTCATCCCTAAAATGTCCTTCACGCTAATATGTCCAAACCAGGACCTGCTTTAAGACCACACACTGCATCTGGTTACATCTCTTGAGTTTTTTTTTTTTTTAAGACTTTTTATTTATTTATTTGACAGAGAGAGAGAGAGACAGCGAGAGAGGGAACACAAGCAGGGGGAGTGGGAGAGGGAGAAGCAGACTCCCCGCTGAGCAGGGAGCCCCATGCGGGGCTCTATCCCAGGACCCTGGGATCACGACCTGAGCCAAAGGCAGACGCTTAATAATGACTGAGCCACCCAGGCGCCCCTCGAGTTTTTTTGAAATTAGAATAATTTTCTTTTTTCCTGACTGACTTTCCATTTTTCATTATCCTAACTTTTGTAGACTGTTCCTTCTGAATTTATCACATTGCGTTCTCACGGTATAAGTTAGCTTGATCTTCTAGCTCTTGTGTCACTTGTAAACTGAAGTTAGACCTTAAAGCTTCATTGGATTCCTGATTGTTGGTAAGAATGTCTCATAGGTATGGTAGGCTTCCTCTTCATCAGGAGACACATCTAGCTCCCCACATTTGGGTGACCCTAGGCTTGGCCCTTGAATTAAGGTAGCCTGATTAATCTCTCTATTCAAGCTTAACGTTTAGCCTTGTGGTCAGAAAGTAATCTATGTAACGTTATCTTGGATATATCCAAATGCCCAGTTCCCTATCAGTCATTCACCCACTGGTGTCAACCAAGTTTCCTTAATCAAAAGTTTTATTAAGGGTTGTAAAATAATGATTTTTCAATTCTACCATTCCTTCTACATTTATTAGTTTGTGTTCTGTAATGCAGGATTTTTCTTAAACCATGGACTCTTTTTGGTGATTTTGAAATAAATTTCTTATTGGAAAGATACAATAAACACTTAATTTTCACTTCAATTCACAGTGTTCAAAATTCTATTAAAACCAATAGTCATTATTCTTTTTGATGTTCAAATTGTCACAAATTTGGCCAGTGGGAACCCCTTCTGTGTCCTTTTTATAGACATTTTTTAAAAAGTGTGGTAAAATCTATAAAACAAAAATATCATTATAACCATGTTTAAGTGTATGATTAGCGGCATTAATCATATTCACATTACTATGCAACCATCCCCACTATTAATCTCCACAAATTTTTTCATCTTCCCAAACTGAAATTCTTTTTAATTCTTAATTTTTATTTTTTAAATTTAAATTCAATTAATTAACATATAATGTATTATTTGTTTCAGGGTACGGGCCTGTGATTCATTAGTCTTACATAACACCCAGTGCTCCTTATAACACATACCATCCCCAATGTCCATCACCCAGTTACCCCATCCCTCCACCCCCCTCCCCTGCAGCAACCCTCAGTTTGTTTCCTATGATTAGGAGTCTCTTATGGTTTGTCTCCCTCTCTGGTTTTGTCTTGTTTCATTTTCCCTCCCTTCCCCTATGCCCCTCTGCCTTCCAAACTGATCTTTAACCAATAAAAAGTAACTTCCCAAATCCCTGGCAGGCAATCAACATTCTACTTTGTCTCTTTGAATTTGACTTCCTTAAATATCTTATATAAATGGAACCATACATTTTTTGTCCTTATTCGACTTAGCTTAATGTTTTCCAGGCTCATTCATGTTGAAGTATATCAGAATTTCCTCCTTTTTTTTTTTATAAAGATTTTATTTATTTATTTGAGAGAGAGAATGAGAGAGAGCAGGGTCAGAGGGAGAAGCAGACTCCCTGCAGAGCAGGGAGCCCGATGTGGGACTTGATCCAGGGACTCCAGGATCATGACCTGAGCTGAAGGCAGTCGCCCAACCAACTGAGCCACCCAGGCGCCCCCTCCTTTTTTTTTTTTTTTTAAGGCTGAATAATATTCCAATGTAGGTATATGCCACCTTTTGTTCATCCATTCGTCTGCTGATGGGCACTTGGGTTGCTTCCACGTTTTGGCTACTGTGAATGATGCTGCTGTGAACATGGGTGTACAGATACCTAGTTCAGTCCCTGCTTTCAGTTCTTGTAGGTAGATACCAGAAGTGGAATTGTTGCATCATATAGTAATTTTATTTTAATTTGTTGAGGGGCTGTCATTACTGTTTTTCACAGTGGCTGCACCATTTTACATTCCTACCACAAGGATTCTAATTTCTCCATATCTTGCCAACACTTTGGGTTGTTGTTGTTGTTCTTTTTGATAACAATCATTTTAAGCGGGTATGAAGTGGTATCACATTGCGGCTTTGATTTGCATTTCCCTAATGATTAGTTATGTTGAGCATCTTTCATTTGCTTATTGGCCATTTGTATATCTTTGGAGAAAAGTCTAGTTAAGTCCCTTGCCCATTTTCGAATAGGGTTATTTGTTTTTAGGTTAAGTTGTAGGAGTTAGGATCTATGTTTTCTAGATATTAGTTTCCGTTTTCTCCAATTTTGTGGGTTGCCTTTGTATTCTGCTGGTGGTGTCTTTTGATGCACAAAAGATTTTATTTTGATGAAGTCCAACTTCATCTCTTTTTTTCTTTTGTTGCCGTTCCTGAGTGTCATATCCGAGAAATCATTACCAATCCAACGTTGTGAAGCTTTTCCCCTATGTTTCCTTCTAAGAGTTACAGTTTAGCTCTTATGTTTAGGTCTTTGATCCATTTTGAATTAATTTTTGTATGTGGTATTAAGTAAAGACCCTTCATTCTTTTGCATGTGGATATCCAGTTATACCAGCGCCATTTATTGAAATCATTTGACCATATGTGTGGGGGTTTATTTCTGGGCTCTTATTCCTTTCTGTTCGTGAATAGGTCTATACTTAATGCCAATAGTACCTTGCTTTGATGACTTAGCTTTGTAGGAAGTTTTGAATCAAGAAGTGTAAATTTTCCAATTTTGTTCTTTTTCAAGATTGTTTTTGGCTGTTTGGGGTCCCTTGAAATTCCATATGAATTTTAGGGTGTAGATTTTTCTATTCTTGCAAAGAAAGGTATTTTGGTAGGGGTCGCATGGAACCTGCAGATTGTTTTGGGTAGCATTGACATCGTAACTATTAAAATCTTCTAATCCATGAATATTAAGATGTCTTTCCATTTATTATGTCTTTAATTTCTTTCAGTAATGTTTTGTATTTTTCAGTGATTAAGTTAACCTCCTTGGTTATTTCTAAGTATTTAATTCGTCTTGATGCTATTGTAAATTGAATTGATTTTCTTTTTTTTTTT